TTAAAATAACAACTATTCGGATTGGCCTGATCCACAATATATAAGGTATAATATGCAAAACAATTTTTTTGACAAAAATTTTCTGCCCAGAACGCCGTCTGGACACCTCCATTTGATGTGCTTCCGTGTAGAATTTTTTTACAAAATTTTGTGATCATGTTCTACATCAAATGTATATTATATATACCAAATTTTAGCTCAAAATGCAATCGTAAAATGAGTTAAATAAAATATCGAAACACATTGTGTTTTTATACGTACTCCCTCCGTTCCTAAATAAACTTCCATCTTTCCTTTTTCGTCCGTTCCAATTAAAACTTCCACTTTCCCTTTTTGGTAAAGAATTTGTGGTTCACAACATTTCTTATACATTTCTCTCTCCTCTGCACAACTCTCCACCACACAATATCCAATATCTTAAACTTTGTGTCAAACCCATTTGGAAGTTAAAATGGGAACGGAGGTAGTATATATTTTGGCGTAATACTTTTCAATGATTTATTTAACTGACTTTTCGGTTTCATTTTAAGCTCAAATTTGGTGGACATAATCATTATTTTATGAATAACAAGCTCACAAAATTTAATCAAAAAATTCCACCCAGAAGCACCTCAAATGAAGATTACTCATGCAGTATATAAGAAGTTCGGTTCCTGACTAGGAACCGGAACCGAACCGATGAAAGACTATAGGAACCGAACCGAAAAAAGCTGAAGTCCAAAATTATAGGAACCGAACCGAACCGAAATTTCCGGTTCGGTTCGGATCGGTTTTCCCGGTTTTACGGTTCCAAGTCCCAGCCCTAATTTTTTTATTCTGCTTTCACTGATTTATTTTACATTACTTTCGCTTCCAAATTTCTCCCCCCATTGGCCATGACCCAGGCGGATCGCGCGAGCCAACGGTGTATATATATTTACATATAAAGTTTCGGGGAATTGGGATTTGGAAATTCCAAATTACTAAATAAAACAAATTGAAAAAAGGGGAATTCTATATACAGCCCCCTTTTTGCTAGTTACACACTCATTTTCGTAATTATTTTAAATTTCGAATATGCCCTTGCTATAATTTCACGTCGTCTCGTATTGTCACGACCACAACTCTATCTAATATCCACACATGTTTGAAGTTTCCGGAACCACACACCCATGTCTGAACTCTGAAGTTTCTAGAGTGAGGACGAGCCCATAAGCTAGATCTATATCCTGTGATTCCTCCGACCAGCAACTCCGGCCAATAGGTAAAAATGGCAGACGAGATTGCCTGTGAGCTGCGCACAATTCATGGATACTTCCCTTCCATTCGAGCTCGATGTTCATCTAATTCCAGTTGCGCGAAATGAGTTCGATGAACCGCAACTGGCCGGCCCTTATATTTGCTCCTTCACCATGAACTCTAATATTTCTCCCAAGGACCTGGTAATATTTGTCCTTCAGATAGAATCCCATTTTATAATATTTCTTGGAGGAACTGAACATGAGAAATTGCTCAACGGAGGAAGTCAGTCAGGGCAACTATATGATATGCCCTCTGGTGACTCAACATCAGATATGGACTAATGCTCTTGAGCTGTTACAAGAGATGGATTATTGGACTCTAGATTCCCTAATAAAGAAACCCAAATGGCAAAGCAAATTGATTTGAGCTGCTGACTTTGCCATTTCTTACAACCCCGATTCTAGTTCACACTAATGGAAAGATATTCTTCAGATGCTCATTGATCTTGCTGGGAGTTGAGTAGGCGGTGCCTCTTGGGTTGAAGGCAATTAGACGTTATTAGGTATCGCAGATATTACGTTGCTGTATTTAGCAAATAAGGGACTGTGGATAGAACTCCCCTTGAAAAAATAAAAGAAGAAGGCGGGCGAATAGTTACTACGTACGTAGTACTCCGTATTAATTACGTTACGATCGCGAGTAAAGGAAAGGCATACATCTAGAATTGCAGGTGTTGATTTTTTTTTTTTTTGCTAAATTGCAGGTGTTGATTGAATAATAGGTGAAGCAATATAATTAGGGTATTCGTCTTTAATAGGACTAAAATTAGCGCAAAATTCAACAATAGGAGTACAATCTCATTACTCCAAAAATAGGACCAACATATGTCCATTCTTCTCATTCTACCATATTCCTATAATTTCCAATATATTTATTTTATTAATAAAAAAATCAAAGTTTTATTTCTAATAAAAATATAAAAATAATATAATATTTATAAATCACTAATAAAAACGTGAAAAATAAATAAAAATTAAAAACATTAAAAAGTAATAATAAAATATTTAAAAAACTTTAAAAAAATCTAAAAAATAAAATAAAATACCTAAAAAATATTTAGAAAATATGTAGGTCACTGCCAATGCGTCCTCTACCTCGCAGCACCACCATCTCAGGTTGTCGGGGAAAAATGCCATCTTGTGTAAAAAATGACACATTTCTCTAAAAATGCCATGAAGATGACATTTTTACTCTTTGAAAATATTCAGCTTTTTCTTCAAAATTGTCATCATGATGATATTTTTCCCTCAATTTGGCAATCTTTTCCGGAGACCGGATGTGACGGTGCTGGAAGGTGGCTAAGGTGGTGGTTGAGGTCTGTATTTTTTTTTTTACGATTTTTATTTTTTTAAATTTATTTTTTTATATTTTATAATGATTGTTTAAAAAATCCTATTAGGAAGACAAAGGAAAGGATATAATGCCAAGAAATAGTCCTATTTTGGGAATTTAAACTTAACTCTTATTGTTGCAAGTAAATCTCCCAAATAATTAGTAAGACGAAAATATATTAACATAAGATACTACTCGTAGTAAATTATTACGAGGGAGGGCAGGGCATGCAGCGGTACATACATACATAGAATTTCATTTATTATTTATATATTGGCCGGCGGGCTTGTTGATGTATTAGTGTGTGTGTGTGTATCTATATATATATATATATATATATATATATATATATATATATATATATATATATATATATATATATATATATATATATATATATATATATATATATATATATATATATATATATATATATATATATATATATATATATATATATATATATATATATATGATGGAATTGAAATGTGAAATGGTGGGTGGGCGGGCGGTGAATTAAGCCAGGGAGGAGCTTCTGATGAGGAGGCGTTGCAAGTTTGTGGAGAGTTGAAAGGGGCGGAGGATAAGGCGAAGATGCCATAGAGCGATCCTAAAAGGGAAGAGCAGGAATCCTTTTGCCGCCACCGCCGTCTTCTCCAACACAACCCAAACTGCACGTACAACCACCACCCAAAGTATTACCGCCCATTTCGCCGCCGCTAATATTACACCTGCACCAGCACTCATACTATACTTTACGATACTACGGAGTACGTACGCTGTTTTATTTTACTAATTTATTTATACTGTGCGACGACCGCATATCATATCATATCATATGATGATCCGTTCCAAATTCACGTATGTATACTACTCCCGCCGTCCTCAAATAATTGTCCTACTTTGACCTTGACACAGATTAAGAAAATGAAATTGACTTCACACTGTAGCGACACTGTTTGGCACTGTACCGACACTGTTTGGCAATGTAGCGACACTGTTTGACACTGTTTTTTATAGATTTGTTTACCAAATAAGGAAAGTTTCAAAGTAGGACAATTGTTTTGGGACATCCATTTTGGAAAAGCAGGACATTTATTTCGGGACGGAGGGAGTACTTACGTACGTGGTAACCAATAACCACTCCATATATACTACAGAGTAGTATATTATACTACTTCCATTATTAAATAAGTGCAACATGTTGAATTTTAAATTATTCACATGTTCTACTTTGAACACGTTTTATTTATTAATGTATTAATATATTTTTTTGAAAAAAATATTGTTAGATTTGTCTCATTATAAATTGGGGAAAATAATTAAAATATTCTAAACTTTGAAAGGATGTGAGATGAACACCCCAAACTTGCATATGTAATTTAAATACCCCAAACTTTATATAAAAAGTTATTTTAGCATCATAGTCAAGTGTTATTTCTATCAAAAAATGTAAACTTATGGTGTTTATTGCATAATATAAAATATTTTAACATTGCAAAATAAATAATGTTACCGCCCAATCTATATAATTGCAACACTTTTAATTTACTATTTTAAATTATACAATTAACCCCATAAATTTCTATTTTTGTAAGAAATAATACATGACAATTCAATGATGCAAAAATAACTTTTATATATAGTTGGGGTATTTATATTACATATACAAGTTTAGGGTGTTTATAACCTCACACCCCTTCAAAGTTTGGGGTATTTTTATTATTTTTCCCTAATAAATTTTCACAATTTGATTTTTTAATTTTTTTTACTGGTTCAGAATTATCTATATTAACGGTCAATGTCGTGTCTCGGCAAACGTGAAAAGTTGACTATTGCACTTATTTAAGAACGGAGAAAATATATATATATTCCTCCCATCCTGCCAGGCAATATATATATTTATGCATATATATATATGCATGCAATCGTAATTTATGCAGGTTTGTTCCCTGCGGCCGCCCTCTCATGCATTCCGCGTCTTACATGCAAAACCAATGTTCCCTAAATGCCGGCCTCCATTGGCGCATCTACGTACACTACTAGAAAGTGTTGAATTAGAGAGGAAATTGGGAGGGAAAGATATCCCTATGTATTTTAGATAGGATGTTTGCTAGGAATTAAGCATTTTCCTTATTTAGTTGGAGTAGAAAGGAATTTTAACTATTTAGAAAGGAAATTTGGTTCCTCTATTTAATAATTTTAAAAAATATCATAATAATTTCTATAGCTAGGATTGGAGTTCCTCTCTAAGATCTACGCCACTAGATCTAAAATAGAAAAGGATTTGAAAGGAGTTAAGGGGGTGTCCCCAACACAGAGTTTAAATGATTTTAAAAGATTGTAGATTCCATGGATTCTAATGCAATTCTACGGATTCCATGAGATTGATATGGAATTCTATGGAATTCTATTTCATGGAATTATATGGATTTCAATGGATTTTAATAGATTTGAAATACAAGTCGGTGCAAACCCCTACCCTAATTCCCAACTCCCACACCTGCTCAGCCACCGCAAACCGCCGTTGGAAAAGTCGTCAGAATATTTTGATAAAAAATTATTCGTTCTTTTTTAAAAAAAATCATTGGGAAATGTTAATGATAAATTGGCTTCAATCTAATCATATTTAAGGAAAAACGTCAAATTGAAATATAACAAACTACGTAATTCATATTTAATCCATAATCAAAGCACAATCTTAAACAATTATGAACCGTACTAAAGTAACAAAAGGAATACATCCAATCTATGTAATCTTCATTGATGACATCCGTCCACATTTGTTGTGCAATACCGTTTCTCCATTGATTTGCATATTGCCTTTGTTCATCCTGCGTTTGGAGAGTGTCAATTTCATCTTCGTCGTCTTCTATCAAAGATTCGTCTGAAGAGTCTTCATCATCTGAAGAAACAGGAAATTCATCTGAGCTACATTCTTTGCGTAGAAAGTTATGCACTCCTGCACAAGCTAATACTAACTCTGCTTGCGTTTTGAATGGGAATGGAGGAGCTGACTTAAAAATCGCAAACCGTGATTTAAAAATGCCAAATATTCTCTCAACAACATTCCTCAAGGAAGCATGACGTAAATTGAATAACTCCCTTTCATTTTCAGGATGACAACCTTGCCCACCAAAATCTTGAAGATGATATCGAACACCTCGAAATGGAGCCAAAAATTGACGACGATTTGCAAATCCGCAATCAACTAGAAAACTCTTCCCTAGATGACAAATGAAATACATGATAAATTACTATACGACACAAATATAAAATACCTTATAGTGATAAAAATGACGCTTACCTCGTGGAACTTTTAACCCATTTCTTCTTGTTAGTGCATCATTTAATAATTTTGAATCATGAGCTGAACCTTCCCAACCACTAAGAATATAAATGAACTCCAAGTCAAAATTACAAGCCGCCAACATGTTTTGTGATAGGTTTCCATGGCGATTACGGTAAGGGGTCACATCACGACCCTCAACTATCGTAGGTATATGTGTACCATCAATTGCTCCAATACAATCCTAGTGATAAAATAAATAATAATATTTTTCAAATAATAACAAGAAATTAAAGTTTCATATGAGCAGTAAATGATTACCTTAAAGTAAGGATAAAACTGTGTACTCTCTCTGATTTTGCTAGGTACAGCAGCTGCCGGTTTCACCATCATCATGGATGAAATTGTGTTTAAAGCCTTCAAAATTTTGTTAAAATTTCTGCTAGTCGTAGAATGTGCTCTACCAAATGTCTTGCGTGTAATACAAAAACGACTGTTTTGACCAACCGTAAGTAAAAATGTCGCAAGCATTTCTTCCACGCAAACATATCGGGCATCTCGTAGCGGTGTTTTTTCCCTAATGATGCTACAAAGTTTTATAAAAACATCGGGGTACATCCTATGCATTTCTCTAAAATGCACAGGATCTTCAGTTAACACTGTGTTTATGTAATTAAATCCAATGGTGGTGATAGGTTTGCGAGTAGGACGCTCAATATACTCTCCCTCATGCATTAACTGTAATAGGTCACTCAACATTTGAAGTATTGCTTCAAGAGCTAATAAAATTAACTTCAACATCTCATAAAATTCTTCACTACTTGTTTCCCTCATTTCATCTTCCATTTCATCCAACCTACACAAACATTTAATATGACATTTTAATTGAACTTTCACAACAATAAATGAAATAAGTAAATGAGATAAGTAATCAAAAATAACATCAGATGGTATAAATATTTCATAGAACGGTAGCAAGGAATAAAAGTTCAATAACAAAAGTGTTCAACAAGAAAGGTTCCATCATAAATAAAAGTTTCAGTTTATGCATCAATAGTTAGTGATAAATATATATGTATTATTTGCAGTTTTATTCCATGCAAGGCAAATCGATTTGTCATGCCATGTGTTACGAAGAAGTTTGATGAACCCATTTGCTCTTATACACGTGCTTCATCAGAATTGAGGAAAGCTTGGTTGAGTTTATTCAAGGTAATATGTACTAAATAATTTTTCTTGTTTTTAGAATTGAAAGTGGTATCTAACATTGTCGAGCTCCTATCTTTTCTTTCTGTGAATTCAATGGGCACTAAATCAGAAGGTGATGCTTATATTTTCATTGACTTGTTATACATTGTGTTACTTTGTTACCAAATTGTGGTATTCTTTAATTAAATTCATAGGAGAAGTATTATTGGAGACCGGAATATGAGTCACGCATTAAAAAGAATTTCAATAAAAAGGGATCAGAAGGTTTATCGCGTGCACTATCTAGTGCTCGGAAAAATAAACAACGTCCCGAATGGATCATTCTTCCAATATGGGTTCAACTGCTTGAGCAATGGAGGGATGGAAAGTTCATTAGTAAATGCAATACCAATAAAAAAACAAGAACTCTGATGTGGGCATGGCGTTGCACACGGGGGGATCTATCCCCATCACAGAGCACTGCCGACGATATGTAAGCATGCATATTTATACGGTCATTTTTTACTATTTAAAACTGTTAGTAAGCCTTATTTTAGATATATTGTTAATATTTGTAGGAGGAAAAGTATCAAGAAACAGCACCCCCAGAAAAAATATTTCTGCTAACACATACAAAAGGAGACGGAACATTTGTGACACCAAAAGCTAAATCAATCTATGTGAGTAAAATTTATTGAGTTAATTTAATCTTTAATGTATTAACCCTCTTTCTGCAAATTAAAATTGTAAAAAATGAATTACATTTCTGTCAAAGTGTCTTCAAATTATACTTTTTGCAGGACTCATATGAAGAACTAAAGTCAAAAGTGTCAAATGCCAAGTCTCAAGATCTAATGTTGAAGGCTGCCGGAGGGCGAAAAAAATGAGGAAAAGTTACTGGTTTTGCCGCAGCAAGTATTTATTTCTTTCCTTCAGCCTCTACATATGAGAACATTCCACAACAATCATACGAGGATAAATTACTTCAACAACGTGTGGAGCAAGTAGAGAAGTCCAATAATGCTCTTCTAGACACTAACAAAGAACTTGTGCAGTTTAAGGAATCTGCATCAGTTACTATAGCAGAAATGCAAGCCATCATTACAACTATGAAAATGGCACAACCATTGCAACACGGTGCATTTATGAATGTGATCCCTAATATGCAACAAGGTACGTTCATGGGCTCTGTTCCACACAATCAACAAAGTGCTTACATAAATATTTCTCCACAACAGCCCCAAGTGGGATCTTTTATGAGCATGTTGATGCCCCAACCTTCTCAAGTCTTCAACAATGGCTACAATCATTCAAACCGGGGTGAAAATGGATGTGAGGATGTTGAAGATGATCTCAATCAGTGACTTTGTAATCCTTTTAATTTAAGCAATTTTAATTTCGAATTTTATCAAGTACTCTGTCTTTTAATGGATTTATGATGTAGAATGATGAATGTCATGAATAACTTATTACCTGATTTGAATGGAATGTTTGATGTTTATTTTTATTGTTTGGTATTTAAATGAGAATTGGGTTTGTATTCAAAAATTATTTTTTGTATACCTATCATATACCATGTATTATATTCTGTATATGTACATATACATGAATTTTCAAATTCAATAGAAAGGAATACAGTTCCTCTCTAGTCTACAGATATACGTATCTCAAATCAATACAGGTGGATTTTAGTTCCTTTCTATGGAGCATATTTTTCTTTGAAGGCCCACCTGTTTAGCTAGGAATCAAGTTCCTCTCTATATAAATGAGGATGAAAATTAAAAGGAACTGAGTTCCTCTCTAATTTATTTAATACTTTGCATCACTTTATATGCTAGAGAGGAATGCAGAGAGGAACTGTGATTTACCAAGGGAGATTTTATAGAGGACTACAAAGTCCTATCTAAATTTGTAGCTAACCTATTTAGAAAGGAATATATCATATTTACATAGGAAAATATTTCCTTCTTATTTGCTCTCATTCTAGTAGTGGTACGTCGTCTCTACATCTCTATCTATTATTCTTTCACGGCCTATTCCATCTTATACTTCCAATATACGTATTCTTTTCTCACAAGTAATAGATCCGAGTTGTTACCCAAGCAGGGGCGGAGCCAAGGGGTCAGGGTGGTCAGCCAACCCCACTGAAGGTTTGAGAGTATAGAGCTTTGAAATATCTTCGATTTGATATATTATGGCCCCTGTAACTCATTACGAGTAAAAAGTTATGACTTTTGGAAAATCAGCATTATCTAAACATAAAATTAGGAAAATTTGATGTATACTATAGATTATTTTCCCAAATTTTAAAAATAGTTATAATTCACCCAATACCTACGTGACATGACTCTGAAACATAGTAAAGAAAATCTATCTTATTGCTACGAGTGCCTATTTATCTAAACTGCATATGAAATATTCAACCCGGACATTGTTTAAAAAACGATTTACCATTTTCATTCTGTACATAGGTTGAGTTTCGACCCCACGAGCCATTTTTCTGGCTCCGCCACTAAACCCAACCCAACATTATCGAGCCTAACGAATTCCAAATTTGAACACCAGCCCAATTTAAAGTTCCAATAAAAACATGAGCCGAGCTCGATCGAACATGATGGTATTGATTTAGATACTGTTGGGTTCCCTTCTTAATTGAGAAGTTCACAAGAATTCTAGAATGTTGCGGAAATGTATAAAGATCTCTAAATGTGTGTGGGGAAGCAATGAATGTTCTAGAATATATGTTTTAGAGTTTTCTAGAGAAGGGTAGAACAAAGAATATACTCCCTCCGTCCCTTATAAATTTGTCAACTTTCCTTTTTTGGTTGTCCCAAAAACTTTTTCACTTTCCCTTTTAATCAATAAATTTGTGGTTCCTGCTATTTCTCTCTCCTCTACACAAATCTCTACCACACAGTTTTTACTTTATTATTCTAAGTGCCGGTCAAACTTGGCAATCATTTTAGGGACGGATGGAGTATATTATTACAAGTACTTAAGATTGTGAACAAAGAATGTGACTAATGACTAGAGTAGTAATGAATACATGGTAATCTGTGTTCAATGTTTAAACTTAAGTTAGAATGACACTACATTGTAGTAACTATTAATCATATTTGTGTAAATAAATTTTATTTTGATAATATTTTTGAGAAAAAAAACCGCGAAAAAAATTGAGATTAAAAATGACTTTTATAATAAATCAATACTAAACATTAGATAAGTTTAGAAGTGAAAATATGAGGTCAAAGGGTCAACTTTAGAATAAAATTAAGATTTGGCCGTTTGGCGGTTAACTCTCCTTTGATAGATACAGTTACAAACTATATCTTTGCGTGGAATTCCAAATCTTTGTCATATATGCTGGAAAGGTTGAGTTGATTAAATCTGTTATGCAAGGGGTCCAGTCTTTTTTTCTTAGAAGCGTCCATGTAACGAGGGTCATTTTGGATAGAATAATCTCACTTTGTAGGACCTTTCTTGGGGGGGGGGGGGGCATGCTAAGGTAACATGGGATGCCATTTGCCTACCTAAAGAAGAGGGGGTTTGGGTATTAGAGATACTAAAGTAGGGAATAATTAATGTTCTACTATCCCGTACCCTTTGGAATATTCATTCCAAACAGGACTCAATTTGGGTTAAGTGGGTTCATGGGGTCTACCTTCATGGTAGGGATGTGTGGACGTTTGTTCCACACACTAGAGACTCTTTGTTAATGAAGAAGTTTGGGCTAACTCGGGACTTGATTATGTCCAAAATTCTCTACTCTGATCTAAATGAGGCAGTGACTTACTTTGGGAAAATATCCTACTTTGGAAAACTTTCCTCTTCGAAAGTGTATGATTTACTTAAAACTAAAGGTAACATCTATTCATGGTTGTCTTTTATTTGGAAGTCATATATCCCCCCCCCCCCCCCCCCCCTCAAATTTTCTTTCATTACATGGCTTGCCTTCCGCAATAGGTTAGCCACGTATGATAAATTGGGGTTTCTTGATGTGATTAATGTTTGTCCTTTTTGTAAGGGTGGCCTGGTCCGGAAACGGTATCACAATTGTATTTTGAGTGTAACATTACAGGGCATGTTTGGAGTATAGTAAGAGCTTGGCTAGGACTTTGGGGGTAGATGACAACACTTTCAAGTGCGGTCAAATGGATTAAGAAGGAACACAATGGAGTACATGTCAAAGACAAAGTTGTGAGGGTTTCCTTCTGCTACACCATCTATTGGATCTAGCGTACTAGGAATAATATACTCCCTCCGTCCCTAAAAGGATTGCCAAGTTTAACCGGCACGTAGAATAATAAAGTAAAAATTGTGTGGTAGAGATTTGTGCAGAGGAGAGAAAAATAGCAGGAACCACAAATGGATTGATTAAAAGAGAAAGTGGCAAAGATTTTGGGACAACCAAAAAATGAAAGTTGGCAAAGTTATAAGGGACGAAGAGAGTGTGTTTTGAGGCTGCCAAGCCTACGGTTATGGATATGGTCACACATATCAAGTATATGGTGTATAAAGTGCTTTAATTTATTCTGTGTATCCGCATCATAGGGTAACATTCTGATTTTTGCTGTTTCGTCATCTATTTTTTGTGATGGCTAGCATGTATATGTAGCTAGATGGCTTTTTGAGGTGATAGGGCATCCTTACTTGGGATTCCCTATAGGTTTTTTTATGATGCACATATGATGTACATAAACATTCTTGAATGATTTCATATATATTTACATTTCATCAAAAAAAAATTAGCGGTTAAAATTTATAGCTGATACTAATGAACAAAAAAGTTGAATCATAAACTTCATTTTGGACCAAAAATAAAATTGGCCTAACTAGATCCCTTTAGCCCGGCTTCAAATGAAGTTATGGATGATAACTCTATATACTCCCTCCGTCTCGTAAAGAAGTTCCTAGTTTGACATACACACATATTTATGTAAGGTAGAGTTTTGTTTTAACTTTCCAAGTATACTCTTACTTTATGTCAAATCAAACAAAAAGTGGGTAAAAAGTAAGGGTAGTTGTGACTTTTTGGCTAAAAGTGGTTTCCTTTTATAGAAATGAGAACTTCTTTTTGAGACATCCATAAAAGGAAAGTGGGAACTTCTTTGCGGGACGAAGGTAGTATATATACTCCATCTATATTTCTTTTTTTAAGAAAGAATTTTTTATTAAAACCATATGCATACTTTATTGGTTTAGCATATTAGTCTAGGGGTGAGCAAATATACCGGACCGGTATGGTATCAGACCGATAAAAGGGGTTTGAAACGGATCTCAAAATTTTTTGTCTGGAACTGGACCGTACCGGTTCTAAACAATGCCATGATGGCTTCTCATAAAATCAGAACCGATACCGGACCGATCCGGACAGAAGTATGGTTTAATTATTTAAATTTGTACTACTATAGTTTATCTGAAATTTATTAATTATCTCATACGTTCCAAATTGATTTGCAAAGTCAAGATTTTTTTTGTCAACCAATGTTAATGTCAAGTCCTCCCTAATGATAATTAATACCACGTACAATTTTTTATAATTAAAATTTACATATTTAGAAACCACATTACAATCTCTTTAAAGTTGCAAAATCCAAATTAGAATATACGAAAATACTTTTTTTGAAAGGCCAAATTAGAATATCATTAAAAAGTGATATCCTAATTAAGCGAATAAAAAATTGTTTGACCAAATAAAGGTTGACTTTGCAAATCAATTTGGGATGGATGTAGTATGAAATATGAAAATTGATAAATTGTGTGGATTTTTGGAGGATGGCTAAACTTTAATTTTTCCTAAAACACTTGGGAAAAATGTCATTGTTTGGTATTGGTATGGCATGGTACCGTCCCGTTTGAAAAGGGACCGTACCGAACGGGTTTAGATCTAAGACCGAACCGAACTGAACCGTTTCTATAGTCACGGTAAAGGTACGGATTTGACAAAAAAATTGCACCAGACCGTGCCCACCCTACATATTACTATTGAGTTCATGTCTAAAAGAAATAATTTTCATGGAAGAATTACAAAATGTTTATATACTGAATACTCCATATAATATAGTGTGGTTCAAATAAAAATACTATTTTCACGTAAAATGCGCATAATAGCACCTTTACATTAAATTATAGTGATGCCCTTGCATATTTAAATGGTGCACCGTCTGTGATCAAGAAAAATTAACTTGGTTGATTTATATAATTCCACCTAGGGATGGACTAAACCGGGCCGGCCTGACCCGGAACTAGCCCGGCCCGTTACTGTATGGGCCCGGACCGGACCGGGACCGGTTGGCCGGTTCCGGGCTTTTAGCCCGTTTGGGCGGGTCGGGCGGGCCGGGCTCGGGTCCAACTTTTGGTGAACCGGACCGGGCAGTTCGGGCCGAGCCCGGTTTTTTTT